CCAAGCCGAACAGCGCCAAAAATAAAATAGATGTATCTTAACGTGCAGTAATACTCACATCATAGATGATTGTTACATCAGCTGGATTCAGTTCTCCTCTACTAACCATATTCAGTAGTGCCTGCGTAAAATGAGAGGCCACCTACAAAGTGACATCTTATTCTTGCTACGGATCCAACACTCAACCGTACAGTCCACGCTGATGGTATGGGCGGTTACAGCGAACAATTATGAATTCGTTGATGTCCCTCCATTCTAGCATGGTAGAGAAGAAGGACCAATGGAAATTCCACAACCGTGGGCCTGACTCCACACAGCGGTGGACTTTCCCCTATGCGATCAGCGTGGACTGCGTGTCTTTTGGAAGGCATCCTCCTACCTGATCATCAGCTGTTTGTGCAAGTGCCGTACGTAAAGCGGTCGTTTCGTGTTCGCGACCTTCCATTTCGGCCCGCAACGATTCAGACATCTGTTCGCAAGCAGCCAGGATTCGACCGCCTTGAGCAGAGCCCACAGCCTGAAATAACATAAAGAGAGCAATTACAAAGGCCTTCCAGAAAAACTTCTAGACACCTCTGCCTTACCTTCAACAATGCCATTGTGTAGACGTAGGTGTGCTCCGCCTGACACACAACTCGCGCCTGGAAAACTGCTATTCCTTCAATTTCTACTGCTTTGAAAACTGTCGCAACGTGCTGCAGTTGGCGCACATGTCACAATCACCGAGTTATAGCACTGAGAAGCTGAGCAAAGCTAGTCCTACCCCTATGAGACGAAAACCGCCTCAATATAGATTCAGTGTCATCATACAGGGGGGCCAAAAAAAAGACTTTTCTTCCTCGACTTTCGAGGCGCTATAAGTTACTTTATAAATTCTTATCGGACATTTCTACCACCATATTAAAGAGCATATTAAATACTATCATGATACTCCGCCACAGCCTTCTGGAGGAGCGCCATCGAGAGATTCTGCCACGCGACCGTCAGTGGGTGCGTGAGTTCGAGATCGTTGATTTCTCCGCCACTGTAGACCACCCTATTGAACTCCGCCCGAACCAGGTAATTGAGGGGGTTTAGGTCAGGTTACCTGCTTAGATATTCCACCTTATTCAGGTACTCAACGCCCTTCCATTCCAAGTAGGCAAGAGTTTTCCCAACGCCCTTTGATTCC